GTCCACGTGTTGTCGTGATGGGAAGCAGGAAGCCGGATGAAGCATGGGAACGCTGCGCCACGGTCCGTGCGCGGCCGAGTGTCGGGTGAACTCGAGCAAATCTGGGCGGACGAGCGACTGATGGCTGTGGTGAGGTTGTTTACTCCGCCTGCGTCAGGGGAGGGGGGCGTTACGGGGAGGGTGGGTACGGAAAACATAAGGCCCGAATGGGAATGGCGACTCAGCATGATGTGGCGGCGGCCGCGGGTGGCGCCCGTGGCGCCGCGAGGTGTCGGGCAGGGCGGGTGCGCCCGCACGCACGCACGTGCCCGTCCGTCCGGGCCGCGGGCACGTGGGGGTGACGTCACCCTCGCGTCGGGTGACAGAAATAACCTCTCCGGTCGAACGGGACCACCCGCCTCGTCACAAGTTTTTAGGCGCAGCCCGATTGACATATTAGATTCTGTGGCGCGCCCGTTTCCTCTCCATACTTGATTGCGATTCGCCCCTTCTGGACCGGGAAGCCCACGGCCGCCGCCCTACCCCAAGGACGGCGCGTCGCGGCGGCGTGGGAGGCCACCAAAAGCGGCGACCGCGGATTCCTGCTGCCGCAAAATTCGATTTCAAAGTGATTTCTGCACTGGAAGGGGCTGGGGGAGGGGTGGGGGTTGCGAAGGCACATGGAGGGGTATGTTTATCGCTCATAAATGGGCGGCCGGGCTCCCGCACACCGAGGAGGGCTACCGACCGGAGGGGTGCCGGGCGGGCGGGCGGGCGGGCTGCGGGCGCCCCGGTGGAAGGGTTGTTAGTGGCGATGAGGGTGGGAGCAGGGGGTGCGCTGGGTAGGGGTGAACACGTCAGAGGGTGTTTCGCGAAAGCTACATATTTCCGCTGCAAACCGCGCCGCTCGCAACTCGAAATCTGCGCGCAAAACTCTTAAACTTACGTACTGTTTCAAACCTTACGCTCCATAAGATATAACATGAGCACCTTCACAGTGAGTGAGGAATCCGACAAACAAAACCACCACAACTGGCAGGAGGGGGACTGGGGGGACCGGCGAGAGTGACCACATGGGCTGGAAAATCGCAAAACCATTCCATGTGGTCTTGCACCACATGCAGCCTCATAGAGAAAGGCTACGGCCTACGGCCAGTCCATCCCCAGCACGTCTGCTGTTCGAACCGGACAGGAGATTAGCACCCCGCTCCCCCGCCATACTGTTCGCTCTTACCCCTCCGCGTGTGCGCGCGCGCACACACACATACACACACAGCGCGAGTTGCAACCCCGTGATGCTAATGGGGTGGCCTACGAGGGCGGCGCGCTGGCACTGCTTCATTCATTAGTGAGGGCCAATTCATGCATCCATTCATTACTCCAGTCATTGGCCATTGGGTGCGGTCGGCTGTGGACCTTCCTGTGGACACCACCACCACCCACCACTCCACGCGCCCCGAGCAGCAGCGGCGTTCTCCAGGGTCGCTTTGAAAAAGGGTCAAGTTTAATGGAAGCTACGTTTGTGAAAAATGTTTCGCACCACGTCTGTAAATGGGTGGGGCGGGGGTTGAAGAAACAGTGGTGTAGCACTACACACTCAAAAGTAATAAAATTGAAGTAGTCTAAGGACACCAAAAAAACGGGGTTCAACAACTTTCAAGAGAGAGAGAAAGGGAGAGAGGGAGGGAGAGAGCTATTTCTATTTTCACACAAAAAGAATGCAGCGACTCCTGAGCGTAGGGAGACCAGTTTGGCTGACTACATTAGGATCGTCGCTGTCGCGTCTCCCCCGCGGCGAAGGGAGAAGAGATAAAGGCAACGAGAGAACGAGCAATGGAAATAGGAGAGGGAGAGGGGGGGGGGGGTCACGCGTAGTGTCGGAAATACTATGACGGAGCTACACCAGCTACACCAGGGTTTTGTGTGGTGTATGGTGTGGTCACATCAAGGGCCGCTCCTAAGCTGGAGGTGAAGGCACTCCCAGTCCAAGGGCACACTCAGGCACACAGCCTTTCTTATCTGAGTGGTGCAGCCAGCAGCTCTGGGAATGCCTTGATTCAACTCTACAGTAACCTAAGTAGCTTGACATCTACTTATCTCCAAACTGTACTTACACGTGAAAGATAAAACTCAGAGAAAATAAATCTTTCAAGGAACAATCCACACTTCTACAGACTAAATCGCAGTAAATTTTCTATAAGTATAGCACTTTCCTCTGCGTTCACTCCATGTCTCATCTAAAACGTTCGTTGGATAGGTAGTATTCACTCACCATATTTTCTGAGTCTTCGTCGTCTGGCAGCTCAGCATCTTCTTTCTCCAGAAGTTGGGCCTGTACAAGGCCGACTCGTCTATTTGAGTCCAGTGTGCGCACTGCCCACCAGGACTCCCACTCCTTACTGAGAACCTGGACAACAAAAAGAATTAAACGTAACTATGAAGCTTTGGTTTGATATAAATGAGAAGCATTGGCATTAGCTCTTTAGCATTTTGAAATAGAATCAACACTGCAATAGATTAAAAATGAAACCAAAGATACTAAGTATGATAAAAATTCTAGCCAAGAGAATATAAAAAGATGTTCCTATGAAAAATGAGTTTTAACCACTTCTGTATCATGGTATGCTGGTATGTGTTCAGTTTAACCTTAAATGCCGGGACCTAAACCGAAACCGACCCCTGAAAATTTTGATGTATCGGCTACAACGGGGGAAATACTTTGGTTTCAATAGTCACAAGAATATGCACAATCTAAATGTAGAATACCTGGATAAACAGGAAGAAAACCACAGTCAAACATACGACACTGTCGGGTGACACCTGCTCTTTGTTTACAAAATACAAAGTGACGGTAATGGCAGGGCGCGGAGGCTGCAACATCTGATCGATAAAATCACTGCCTTCAAAACGTTTGGAGCCACCATATAATTTTCTAGTGCATCATACAACATCCGTTCTTGGGTTGTCCTTATTCATATTTTAATTTCACGTCATCCAAATCCTTACTCTGGAGGTTGTTTTTTTAATGAAAGATGTGAAAAGGAGAAACGTTGTTGTGTCGCCGGGTTGGCATTACGCGTCCTCTGGCCAGGACGAGGGGTATGTCAGGAGGCAGCGCTACCCCGCGCCAGCTGTGGCAGGCAGCGCCATGGAAGCGCCACCCCGTGTCCTTCACCGACACCGTCCTTCACTCGCCCACGCGCGCACACGCTCACGGTTCGAATTCTCTCGCTCTGCTTACACGATAGGGTCGAGCCAGAACGCGCAGAATGTATTCTGCCTGCTCTGCAAACTTTTGGCCATGGAACAGTAGTAGGGCCGAGAAAAGACCTGACACGGCTAACGTAGGCTAGTTGGGAACTACGGCCACCATGCAACCATGCACACTCCCAAAAGGAGCGGGGGAGAGCCAAGTACTGTACTGCAGAGTCCTTGGCGCCTCTGGGGCCTAGTTCATGACTCTCTCAGTCTCTACCTCTCCACCCCCCTCACCAACCATACTCCTCATCCCCAACCCTCTTGCCGCTGGTCGCAACACAGACCGAGGCGACAAGTGCCAGGCTCTAAGCTTCTAAGTTTGAGGTCACCGCGGTTTTCCACCAAGGGCTGCTGCCAACGAGCCGAGCCGAGCAAGAGGGCTGAGTGCTCTCGAGGTAAAGGGAAGTGCAGCTGTAACGAGCAGAGGACGAGAGCGCGGGCTGTAGTACTGGGCGGGCGCGCCACTTCCCTAGAGCACCCCTTCCACCACCTCGGCTAGGCCACTTCTTCCCCCACATTGCCCCCCCTCCCCCTTTGTATCTGTCTTTCTCTATCGAACTCTTTCTCACTCCCCTTCTCTCTCGCTCACTCGCAACGCAAGTGCGAAATCCCCGAAGGCAGATCACACGAAGACAGGCGGCGCCAAACCGAGACCGTAAAAGGCAGGGGCGGGAGCGGCAGGTCGCCAGGGCAGGGCGGCGGGACGGGACGTGTCGGCCTGACTCACCATCACCCGGTCTTTTGTGGACCGGGAAATGGCGAAGGTACCTGTTTTAGAACGAGTCCACGGGGGAACGGGGCGGGTCTGCTGCCTGCATGCTGCCTGCGGTGTGGCGAGGGCTTGCGCTGCGGGGCTGAGTTTTATGTCCCGGCGCATAAAGGGGTGGCATGACAACCCCCGCGAGTCGTACGAATTTCCCCTCCCTCTCCCCCCTTGCGTAACTCTCTCCGTGCCTCTTTCGGAGGATGAAGTGCACAACACCAGCGTGTACCGGGTGTCCAGTCGATGGCATGCCATTACGTTGGGTTGCCTATGCACTGGCAGCAGGGGCGGCAGGTGCGGGGCGAGTGGCGGGGAAGTGGCAGCTACGCCCCCCCCCACCCCCTCTCCACTCCTCCACCACCCGCTCGCGCCTGCAACCCCTTCAGACAGTGAATACGCAACCCAACGTACTGGTATGCCTTAGTGTACCTTAGATATAAGGTGGAGAGGGCCGAGGGCGGTCTGCTCCAAACAAAACCGAAAAGTTAATAATTACGCAAATCAATAGTACCCACCTTGAATAAGTCGCCCTCTTTGAAGCCGAGGAAAATCTCCCTTAGGTCCTTGATATCTTTAATGTACTTTAGGTCCTTCTCGTTTACATCGTCGTCTACCCTTGTGAGATCCTCGCTCGACTTGGACGTGCGTTGATCCTGGTTCGGTAGGTCCAGCAAGACCTTGACCCTCTCCGGCTTGTCAGTGGGCTTCACCTCCTCCTTCTCCTTCTCTTTGTCCTTGTCCTTTTCCGTGTCTTTTTCCTCGCTATCGTCCTCCTTCTTGCCCTGCTCGTCGTTCTCCTTGTCGGCCAGCAAGCGAACAGGGGACTTGTCCTTCTTGCGGACCGCCTTGGCGGGCGACCCAGGAGTCCCCGTCTGGTTGGCCCCGTCCTCGATTGTCTTGGCGCTCAGCTTGGTGAAGAACTGGATGTTCTGGTTGACCTTGTTGTTGAGATTGAGGGCGTTGATGTTGGCCGAGCGCAGGAAGTTGGGCGAGGTGGGTACGGACTTGGTCTCGGACTGGGCGGTGGTCTTGGCGCCGTCCTGCTCGCTCACGTTGAAGGCGCACTTGGCGCGGTAGAGCTCCGCTTTAGCCATCGCGCTGTTCTCGAAGGGGTATCAGCGACACTCACGGAGCCAACGGCACCCCTAGGCCGGCGTCCGGCCGCCTAACCTCACCAGCGCACCGAGGGAAGGGCGAGGGGCGCCCCGACGAGGGCTCAACAACACTACACCCTCGGGGAGGGCGGGCCGGGGCGGGGGCCGGCGGGAGCCCTCCACGGGGGCACTCAGGGCCGGGAGCGAGAAGGACGAGGACGTCGACCCGCGCGAGGGCTTGGGGCCCGGGGGCACTCAAGGGGCGCGGGGGCGCGGGGGGCGCGGGGGCACGGGAGGCACGGTGGGCACCGGCGGGCAGGGGGTGCTGAGGACGCGGTGGCCGTCACGCGCCTCTCGAGGGCCGTGAGTGGGAGCAGACTGCGAGCCCAGCGCGCCGAGATGCCCGACCAAAACAAACCGCGTGTGCAACCCCCTTCCCTTCGGCAGGGAGAGGCGCGGCGAGGCGCACCCCTCCGACAAGGCTCTGGGTCGATAGCAATGCCACCCCCTCCCCAGCCGCACCCCCGGCTCCAGCGGGCTACAGAGTACTCTGACGTCACCAGTCTCTGCGCCACGCCACGCCACGCCCCATACCCCATGCACGTAGTACGTGCCCGCGACGCCCATGGCCCACAACTCGTACAATCTAAATGTATGGAATCTAGTTATATCTTTCTCTGAAATTGGACATAAGACGGTTGTAGTGAAGCGTTCTTCAAACTTATTTTTCTTTTTAGCCGATGATATTTGCAGTGGCAATAATGGTATGAAGCTTTCCACAACACAGCCATACGATGCCTGACTATCATTGAGCTATTTTGCGAAAACGACGAAGCCGAGTAATATCGTCTGCTCCCGGACCATCACAGAGCTTCCGCCAATAATCAGAGGAGGCGATCTTTCTTGAGCTTGTCTTGTCACGAGAGTCCCCCGCTGATTGGTCGATACTTTGTGATGGTCCGGTAAGCAGACGATATTCCTCGCCTCTTCCCTTCGGTTCGCAAAATAGCTCGTTTCCCCATCCCGGTTGAACGAGGTCCACAGGGAGCCAAGGGCCAAGGGTGCACGGTCGGCCGAGCAGCGCGAGCGCGCCTGCACGTCTCCGGGTAGGCAACCCAGCAGCACCCCCGTGCTTGTGTGGCCTACCTTCAGGTTACACGGCTGTAGCCTGTGCCCTGCCTCATTTTCGTGATTAGAACCAAGCATCTTCGCCGTCGGTCGCGGGTCCCCTCGTTTCAGCCACTTGATCACATCACTGCGTTTTATCTTTACTTTCAAACACTCAACTCGAATCTACCAGCGTCGTCGTGAAACACCACGCATCGGGACGCACGCAGGTGGAGTCAATCTTGTGCGACGTTGCTCCGATCTGCTGGCGAAATAGGCGAGGTTTCGTCAAACTCATTATTTGGTTCGTAATCAGTTTAGCACAGTGGGGTGGGGAGGGGGCGGGGGGACTTCCCCAGGTAGGGGCGCGCAGCGACCGCCCCGTGATAGCCCTCCCCATCATCATCTCATCCCCATGCCGCCCTTTTCCATTCCATCTCACCTGCTCGCTCGCTGCCGTCACCTTTACTCCCCAATCAAAATCCAATCTCCGGCGGCAGAGAGTTCATCAGCATCATCACGAGTCTAGCTATGGCCCAGGGGGCGGCGTCGGGCGATGGCCCTTCCTGCAGACCCAGACAGCAGGGGAGCGCGACTGGGGGGTAGGCTGAGGTATTTTCGTGTCCCGTTGGAGAGCAACGGGGGAAATTCGGAACTCCACAAACCTTTACATTTCTTTCGTATATCGTCCCCAAAAACAAAGGAATTGTAGACAATTTGATAAAATCTTCAGACAGGTGGTGATGTTCCGGTGTGTTCTTTCCACATTTACCGATTCCAGAAAAATACCCCTTTGGCAGCCCCGTTTATGCGCACGTTCCTTCTTCTTTTCGTTTTATGAAAATTCCTCTGGTTTGCAAGCCGACGATGTTGATTGCATGCTAAGGCTTGCCCTCCGGCCTGCCTCCGAATCTTTAGATTGCGAGTGAGATTTTCTTACGACTTCGAGCCAGTCCGGGACGGGGCAGCCAGAGGCTAGGACACGTGGATGGCCCGGGCTGCCACCGCAGTATCCCCCCAGCTCCCACCCCATTGCCCCTCGCAACCCCCAAGAGGGGGAAGAGAGGTCCAAGGCCACAGCTGCCGCTATCTGCTCCCTGCGCGTGGCGGGGCTGGCTAGCCCCCCCTCCCCCTCCCTTTCCCCACTACGCGCCAATACTAACCCCACCTCTGATTTCACCCCCTACCCCCCCTTCCCACCCCCAACCACCACCAGCGCACACTGCCAAGGTCACTTTGGACACGACCTGGCTTGGACAGGGTGGGTAAAGGGAAGGGGGCCACAACAGCCCTGTCGGAGATCTTACTCCAGCAAAGTTCCAGGTCAGTCTTCCAGCCGAGCCTGTCGACAACAATTTTTTAGATGGTCCCCGAGACTGTCTCCACCACAGGGAAATGTGCCCCCCACCCCCGCTCCCTTTCACAACAGAGCAGCACGAGCACGCAGTCGCAGGGGCTGTCTTCTTCTTAGACCTGACCTGTGGGCTTTTTTTTCACACTATGCGAAGTAAAATAGGGGTGAGTATGTGGTACAGGGAGGTATGTGGTTTAAATGTTGTTTATGTCTATATTTAAAAGACAAAATGTAAAATAAAATACTGACAAAAAAAAATTAATGCATGTCGAGGCCATTAAACAGCCTGTGGTTTTATTTACTAACCAGGTAAAAGACAATGTTCCATATTTCTCAAGAAAGGATGACACAACTCTATCCATCCATCTTGAAATATGGTAGGCCAAACCAAATCTCAATGGGCCCACTCCACACCATCCACACAAACCCACTAAGCCTTCATCAGTCTTCAAAACTCAATCACATACAGTAGACAAGATTCACATCAAACTTCTTTTAAGGGCACTAACAAGCTCTAGATTAAAGACTTTATCTACTTTAAATTTCATTGAATGACACTGGTACATTTATTTTTGAGTTGAAGAAGAATGAAAAACCTCCATTTTTTTATTGACATCTTACCATTATAAACAAGAAATTTGTGGCACACTCGGTTTGGGGCTGCTGTGGAACATCCCAGCCCAAATCGCATAGATGACATCAGATCATCTGCCAATGGTACAAACTAAAATGATATCTCCAATCCACAAAACAAACAAAAATAACATTTTAAAAATTAGTCACTAATCTGCAACAGCTTCTGATTGACTAGCTTTTAAATCAAAAATTATCATTACAAGAGAGAAAACTGATCATGGACTTATAGGGGTATTATTCTACTTACACATATAGATGTATATAAATATAATTGGAAATCGCTTCAGAAAGCAGTAAAAATTGAGAACTTTAATTTCTAGAAAAAATTGGTTGGTAAAATATGAAAAGTAATAGATACAATAGGTGGTTGTTGAAGGGGATTGCTCCTCTACCAGTTAAAAAAAAACAAAAACATCAGGTTGACTGATACTAGATGGAAGTAAATCATCAACTAAGAAACACAAATACTGTTTTTAAAATTTTAGAAACCCATCTAGTCATCTTAAAATTAAGTGTACATCTTACGATTAAAAGTTTAAGAAGGGAATAACCAATAAATGCAATATTATATTTGAAGCAAATACGTTGGGGTCAGAATAATCTGTTGGCCATGGCAAACTTGAAGAATTTTCATCGAATAAAGAGCTGGTTCGAGTAGGCGGAAATTCAGACGCGGGGAGGAATGCGACGGCGTGCGAGCAAGGCCACAAGCCCATGGGGTGCCCTACCCCAGCCGTTCGGAAAGTATTGAATGCCAGTTCCAATGCCTCGGGTATCAATTATCCCCTACCTGAGCCCAGCAAGCTTTTATGCACATTCAGCGATTCAAGGATCGATTCCATGCAGTGCCACATTAGATACTTAATTACCACTCCAAGCAAGAATGATTACAATGCAAATATTGAATAATGAAAGAAACAATGAATTCTGTAAAGCGCTAAGGTAACTCTTTGAGTCACAATTCAACTAATTGTTACAAAATGAAGGAATGTTCATGAGGCAATTTATAGTTCTCATGTAAAAAAGCTTGGGTACACATTGCTCCAAAAGTTGTAAAATTAGCTTGTCTTGGGACCTTCTTTGTAAACAGCTCAGTTTTGTACTAAACGAGAGCAAACATTATTTAATTAATACTGACCCATGATCAATTGTAGTAAAATATAAAAGTATGCAGATACAAGCCTAAAATTTAAAAATCACACAACCATCGTTAATATGAATAGAATGTTATCATGACAATGTATACAAAATAAGTAGCTATCTGTTAAAAAGAATTGTTTCAAGAATGTGGAAGAATAATTTGGCAGTAAATATCCACCAACAGTACACACATTTTGAGTGTTGCATGTTAAATTTGGCAGAAAGGTTGGAGGAAAGGGGGCTATTCCTAAAAATCTTTAAAAATCTAAAAAGCCCAAGTAACTGAGTGACACATCAGAGGTAGACACATTTCTACTGAGTTTGGAGATTTTCATCACTGCGAAATATACTTCATAATTTTTAAAAACAACATTGTACAACTCATGTATGTGGAGTGTTCTGTAAAGAACATAGAGTGCTGACAAATAAAACATGACCTGACAATAGCTGTGGAGCAAACAAATTGCAAATTGCATACCCTTTACAATCTAAATACTGAGTAGTAATCAATTTGACCTGATAAGTAAAACTTTGGTAGGCGATTATGATTAATACATGGCTGAACGTAATCAAATTATCAATTGCAACCAAATATGTAAAACCAGGAATATTTCTAAATCATGACCAATACATAATTTCTTGATAAGCGGGAGGTCATAATCATAATTACATATTTGTTTTCTCACAACCAAGCACAACTACCTCATAGAATAGAATATAAAATATATTTACACAGTACCTTAATCACAATTTCATATTTGCTTTGGTAGAAAGTTTTGTAAAAAATATACAAACATCCAAGCCTTAAAGGAGTGGACAGTAAAAATAATAATGATAAAAAGTATACAAAGACATTGATATGTAAAAAAAAACAATACGTAAAGGGAAAGAAATGACCCATCATATGCAACATTCCTCAGAATTCCATAAAACTCAGCATTTCATATTTTTACATAACAATTTAATCCTCAAACAGAATAACTGTCTGCTAGGACAGAAGATTTATCTATGACTCAATGCGTATGGCACATGATGATATTGCTTCACAAGAGGAAAGAGTTGGGGTGTCCATTTTAGGATGACAAATTATTGGAAGAACAAGAACCATCCACAGTTATGCTGACTGGGGTAGTTTGCAGCCGAGGGACAGAATAATTCTCTACACCTGAACCTGATCCCCCAGAGCCAGTGGATCCTCGACATGAACCTGTTCACATATTTTAAAAATGGATTTATTTAAGTTTCAAATAAATAAGAATGAACTCATCACTCCTATTGATGTCACATATTTACCTGAATCTGAACGGTCTGACGTATCTTGGGAAGCTATGGACTCCACACTAGTTGTTATGTTACTTAGTGCTTTCGGTGGTATAGGAGGAGGAGCTGCAATAATTTGACTGCGTGGAGAAAGAACAGGGGGAACAATGTTCATCGGGTCTTGACTCGTGTCAGATCTATTGAGGAGATGAAAGCACAAATTAAGCATAGAATTAATATTCCATTAGAAATTTTTGATATCATACAGAGAGAAATTTTTATCTTTAAGAAATAATGTTTACCTTGAGCCCAAGTTATTAGAAGGAGTGCGGGATGTAAATTCAAAGTCTTCATAAGAAAGATTGTTGAAGTGCTGTGCAGATAAGGGTGTGGCTGAAGTTGGAGTTGGTGCAGAAGAAGGTGTAGGAGTAACATCACCCAAACCAGAATCATCACCAGTTGGTGCACCAGGGGTAACAGGTGTAGTCAAAGGAGTGTTAGTGCCCTCTCCATATCCATCAGAAATGTCGAGGTTTAAATCCATAGAGGACTCAGAGTTGAACATAGTTGGTGCTGATCCCTACAGAAATATTGTAATATTTACAGCAAAATTAAAAGAGATGTTTATTATATGGTGCGGAAACTTTAGAGGATATCAAGGATGTGCTACTTGCCTTCTTGCTCAAAGGTCTCCGAGGTGGGGCTGGTGGTTGTTGACCTGTGTCAATGTACAAACCTCGTTTATCAGGAGCTGAAACAAGTAAACACACCGGAATTCAAAAATTTACAAAGCAATTATTTGTTAAAAACAAGCAGGTTGATAGAAAATTTTTCTTCTAATTATTCTAAAAATACTTACTGCAACCCCTTGGTGGTAGAGGTGGAGCTTCTTCCCCAGTATTTGGTGTGGTAGCACCATCCCACGTTGAAAGAACACCATCAGTGGGTGTGGGCAAGGAATGGCGCAAAGCTAAGGGTTTAGGACTGTCTGGTCTGCTGATGCTCAATGATCTCTGATGACTAGGTTTTGGGGGACGTTGAATTTCCCCATCCACATGGGACTCCATCCTGAAATATGTTTGCCATTCAAAGAACAAATAAGTTTTATCCCCAGTGTGATTCAGATTTTTTTTTTTTAAGTTAGAGGAAAAAACATGCCTTGACTTCATAGGTGGTAAAGATGAATAGTCTAAAGTTCCTCTTGTAGGGGTCCTGGCTGTGCTTCCCGCCGAATTAGATGTAAAGTTTGATGACCTTGGTCTTAAATCACGTTGGGGTATAGCAGGTGGTGAGTTAACTCCATTCATGTCCTATACACATAGCAAATTTTAGACATTTAAGTAGGTAAATACACATAATACTAAATGAAATCACAGTTTCTGCACACCAACCATTGGTTTGCTGTAAATAGTATCATCATCAACTTCTGATCCTCCAAAGTGATCGTTTGAAATAAAATGACCATATGCTCCACTGCTGCATGAGGAACGATTGCTGATACCATCCATTGGCATTCTTTTCTCACTTGGTAATGGAGGAAGTGGAGTGCTGAAAAGTGCAAGACATTCTCATGAGACGCACAAAAGCAAAAGCAAAAGCAAAAGCTAAAGAAAAAAAATCACTAAAAATTGTAAGGTAAAAAATCGCATGGGAGAGTGACTTACTGAACAATGCTATGTTGGTTAGTACCCCAATGTCTGGGCAAACTAAGTCCAGAACTGAGCTCTCGCAGGCCTTGTTCCATCTGGCCCAGTCGCTCTTGCAAACGACGGTGTAGTGGCTGTACACCTGGAGGAGCCAGTTGGCCATGCAATGCTAATGCATTTGAAAGAATGTGTACCTGAGACAATAAAAAGTTGAAGTTGATCTCTTACAGAAGAATCAAAGTGCTAGACAATTTAGTTTAGTTCTGCTCAGGTCCTTAATTCTGTTGCATTTTTAGTTTCAACCATTAAGTGCCACAACTAGCTGAATCTAGGAACAGTCAGCAGTGAATTTGGCTACACCTTGGTGATTACACCAAACTGGTGTAGGCCAATCATAGCTTTAGCCTGCTGATCCTATGTTTAGCCAATCTAGGTATAAAAATGTGATCAAAAAAAGAAAATTACTCTCACTTATCACACACACACACACACCTGTTCTAAAATCAAAGTTTTCAGGGAGTACACATGTTCAGCACATTCAGGATTTGATTTTGAAAATTCAGGAGAAAAAAAGGCTTGCTGATATTTTGCAATGCCACCCATCACATTAGCATCAATTATTCCCTGTACAAAACAAATCATTGATGTATTAGAGATACATATACAAACAAAGTTGTCACTCAATTTATATGATTATATACCTGCAATCGCATGGTAAATGGATTGATGTTGCGCTTTGAGTCTTGTTCATATTGAGATATGAGTTGTCTTAGTTCTTTGTTCACTGTTTCCATTGTTTCACATGCAAACTGAACAGGAGTGATCTCCTCTACAGTACGCTCTACAACTTCAAACCACCTCAAAATACCAGGCAATGATGATGCAATTACCAGGGTTGTTCGTTCTAACCATAAGCTCTGAAAAACATTTTGTTAGCAATAAAAAATAAAACAAAAATTTGTTTAAAGAAACTATAGGCTAAATTGAACTGATTACCTTGAATTCATTTTCTTTATCAACTGTTCCTTTATGAATAGGTCTGTCAAACTGGAATCTTTTCACATCATTCACCTCATAGAAACTTGTTATTTTCTCAGGTATATCAGATGGAAGAGCACCTTCAGAGCTAAACACCGGGTTTAGCTCTGGTATTGGTTTAACATTGCATATTTGAATATCTAAAAGTCTGTTAAGAAAATTATTACTTTGTTTCCTAATCATTATTAAAAGTAAAGCAAAATGAAATAAAATAGAAGCAATGTTCAAGTCTTAAAGGATACACTGTCCTTCTGAATTAATAATACTGTCATCAGGTGGAGTGTTTTTCATCAGAATCTGAGCTGCAGGAAACTCAGTTTGTAATCTCTGAGTAAACGCTCCAATTCTCTCATACTCTAAACCTCTATATACAAATACTTTATTCTGGAACAGGAATAAAGACAAACAAAACTATTATAATTCAAAATTATAAAAGATAAGATTAGAGCATAAAAATTTAATTACCCTAACAAACAGGGGAAAACTCAGTCCATAAAATCCAACACGAAAGTATTCGGGTTCTGGCCTCAGCTGGGTAAGTATATTATCAAAAAATTTGGCCTGGGTCTTTAAAATATTGCTTAGTTTTCCATAATCAAACAGTTTCTTTTCATACAGCTCTGCAAGTTCTTTGCAGAGAGGAATTCCTTTTTCCCAACACTGCAAAAAGTAAAAAGAATTTTGTTAATTATTTGCATTGCAACCAAATTAAAATTGGATGGACCCCTGAATTGAATTAAAATGCCTTACCTTCCCCTTGTCAAAATAATTAATTATTTGCATGTATAGATGCTGTTTTCTTTGACACTCCGACATATTGTTGTGATGAGGGTCTCCACTGAGAGGTGTAGAATTCCAAGTCAGTTGGTCAGCATACAATTTCATAGTGAATCCAGCCTCCGTAAAGTTCTCAGCAGGGAAGTGGAGGTCATGCAACTTATATATGTATCGCAAGTACATTTCTTTCCTATTAATCTCGTTCTTATAAAAGTTCTAAAATGGAAAGGAAGTTTTAATTATGTGTTCTCAGTCAATAGACTTTGGTAAAAATTCATTCATTCTTACTAGTAAATTAACAGTGCAGGACATCCGCTTATCACGATTTTCATCACCCTGCATTACACTTCGATAGTCCAAAAGCCTTTCAAGTAGCCTAGTTACAGAACTTATGAATGCAGTACCACTCTCTTTCCATGTTGGATCTTTATTTTGGACTTGTTGAAGCAATCTAAAAATAGAATTAGAGAATAGTATTAGAAAAAATGAACAAATTGTCAAAATCAAATCAGATGCGGAACAAGTTTGCTTTTGTTTTCTTTCTTTTTTCTGACAGACAACTTTAGCCAATGTTAATATTTCCTAATTTCAAATATGGGACTACAAACAAGAGAAGACACAACAAAATAAGTTTGATAGCAGTACAGGACTACTCAAGCTCGGATATCAGATATTAAGAAAGTTTTACAATTAATAATTCAACTTTATGACTCCTGCAAAGATAAGAATAATGTTGACTTACACAGCACTGAGATGTTCCCTACAAGTCCCAGTAAGCAATAAAGAAAAAGAAAATGTAGATAAGTAAAAAGTTTGACTTTGGCTTTTTAAACAATTTCTTTAGAAATAGCCCAAAAATATCAGCAACATAACAATTCAAATGTAAATGATTATGTTAACATTAACAAAAAGACTGCATTCAGTAAAAAAAAGGCACTTAACAGTCATAGTTTTATCTCTCAGTAACAGGGATATGTAGTTTAACAATCACGTTACTTACATTGTGTTGAATAGTTGTCGATATTCATCATCTCCCTTGTTCTCACTTATAAGAATGTCAAGTTTATCAATAAGTTCTGACTCCACCTGATAAATTGATTTATTTAAAAATTACTAGCACAATTGACACTGTACACAATTCATAGATAAATTTATTGTTTGTAAACAAACCTGTTTGAAATTTCCACGGGCTCTCTGCTCGCATTCCATCATATCAAAAAAGATGTGTAGGGTAGCTTTCCGAAGTTCAGCTTCTGGGACTAGAGTGACCTCTAAGAATGGTCCCACCATGTGGGGTATAAATTTTATTTTGTGTTCTCCTAGTCTAGACCACATATTTAAAATTTGGAAACCCATTAAAACTCTCATATCACCATATCTTTCCATCATTTTCTCACGTTTCACCTCGCTAAATTGTTCTAATTGCAGCGAAGGCTGAGTTAAAAATGCAACAGCAAGATTGAAATACTGAGTCCAAAGTTGATTGTCAAAATGGTGACATCTTCCATCATCAAGAAACTTTGAAACTAATGGTTCAGATAGCTCTTTCAGGCTATTGAGAATTACTTGGTTTGCAACCATTTTGATGATAAGCCAATCTGAGGGAAAGACCTCTTGCTTCACAAGGTCCCGGAACACTAGAAAGACTCTGAGCAAGAAGTCCTTAGTGGGTTTGTGGTCTCCAAGATCTTCCCAAAGGCTAGAATAGTGATATTCATCTAATAGCTGTAGAAGTCCGATGAGACAAGCAACCAAGCTACCAAGGACAGGTGTTGGGCGGTCGATTATAATGAGAACTGTTTGAACCAATATATCAAGTATGTGAAGGCAAAGAATTTCAACATCATGATGAAGGCAGTTATTCACTTTGCCTTGTTCTTGAAGTTGAGACTGTCTTTGTTTGAACAAGTAGCCCAATATTTCACCCAATATCTCAGTGCAAAGACGTAACTCATCACGATGAGCAAGATGCATTCTGAGCTGTTTGCAGCACATTCCCAATAACTGGCTACGAGACTCATCATGCTGAAAGAGTTTGCTTGTCACCAAATTTCTAACAGCTACAAGTTTAGCTTGAGTTAATTGCGGAGAAAGATCTCTTGTGGGAAGGCTTTCTAGCATGTTTGAGGCTAAGTGACTCACTTCAGGAACATGTAAGACCTACAAAACAAACAAGACAGTGTTTAGTTGGAATGGGTCAAATATTACAAGATAATGAACCATCTTGTAATTCCTTTTCCACAAAATGTACTTTGTAAAATGTTAACACTTAAAAATGAACCAAACTTACTTGAGTGAGCTGTTCCAAAACAGCACTTATAGAATGAAGAAGTGCTACTTGAGTGGGAAGAATAACTTCATAAGAAGTACCTAACATTTTGGTCAATGCATTGAAAACCAAGTACAAATCTCTTCGAAAACTGTCTTCATACTGCCCTCCAGTCGCCCTTGAGAATAACAGTCTGGATTCAATGATAAATTTGAATATATACTCTAGGGAGCCAAAGCACTTTTGCATAGGTTCTTGTTTATCAGTAGAACTAACACGTTCCGCACAGTGCTGAACACTTGTCATGAGTCCTCTGCCAAAGAAATTGTTGTTAGAATGTGTGCTATCATTGGCACATAACAGATAAATCAAAAATATATACTCACTTATATACCAATGCAGCAGCAAAATGACCCTTTATGTAAGCATCCATTACAGGTCTGAAATGTTCAAACCTGCTATCTTCTAGATGACTAAATATGCTTACCTGCAATAGATAAATAATAATTTAAAATGAATTAACAAATTGATTAATTATAAAGCTAATATTAGATTGAAAAAAAAAAGAAGGAGAGGGACTTACTAGGACATGAAAAACAAGACCAGAGTGAGTTGTTGAATTTCCATCTTCTGTTGAAAACATTGCAAAAAGAGCATCAAGAACATCTTGCAAAAATTTCACAATTTCTTCTCCATTTAAACGCAACACACTAGTGAGTGCATCCTGTACAGTTTGAGGGCGTTCATAATCTTTCCACCGTAGCAAGGACAGTAGATCAGCTGTAAGAAATTAAAATACAATTATTAAATATTGGTTGTATTTGCTTTCTCTTCATAATATGACTGACTGTGCCTGAAACATTTCCTTACCATTTTGAGTGAGCTTTGTAGAACACAGTAAGGTATTTATAAACACAGTTTCTTTGTGACTTCGACCAAATGCAGTTGAATTTGATTGCCCAATACCTTCCCAAGCACCAGAGGATAGTGAAAGATAGACTTGAGGATCATTTAGCCTCGAGCGGTCTTCACATTTGTAAATGTAAAGCTCATGAGATCGATCACCCAAGGTTGCACCTCCAGGCTCCATGAGACGGACAAATGAAAACCCAAACAACTTCTTGTTGTCTGCCTTTTCTCGGGCTGCAAAAAGATAAGAGAATGAAATATTGCCAAATGGTAAGCAGAAGGGGAAAAAAGGCAGGGTCATGCTTTACTTGAACAGTGACGATACTCCAGGCGAACATGGGATCCATAAAACTTGTCAATAGGAACAGCCAGACGAACAGTTTCCATCCACGAAGGTGAATTGTGATGATAAACAATCATAGATTGATATTCAGTAGTACCATCCGATCCTGATGCTCCCCATAGACATTTCTAGAATTTCAAAAGGTAAGAGTTACTTTACTACTTTACTCAAGAAAAAATTATACAACAGATCAGAAACTATAAGTCCTTACCTCAAGCGGTTTGCCATCAGAGTCAAGGACTAGAATTGTAACCTCAATATTTTTGGCAGTTGACTTCCCTCCACGTTCAAATTCACCTCTCTCCAAGGTCAAATATAAATCATTCCTATAAAAAGAGATCTTTTTCAGCAGCTGTCTTAGAAATAGAAAATATACTCACAGAATTTTTAGAAAATATACCGAATGTCTCCTGGCATGATGACATCAGAAAATCCGAGTTTCTTGGTAAGGGAAATATTTTTGAACAGAAGAGGATTTTCTTCTTGTACTTGAGACAGCTCACCGTGCAGAAATTTAAGAGACACTCCAATACCTAATCCATTTAAATAATAAATATGTTAGAGGACAACTCATGAAACACTATAAACATCCATTTGACCAGAGAAAGACTCTGTCCTACCGTAATTCTGACCAGACAAGACATTGTATTTGTTGCTTTGTTTTTTAATTATCAGTTCATGAAGTTGGTAGAAATCTTTTTCTTCTCCTTGAAAACCTAAACAGAAAATAATTATTAAGAAAATACTCCCTGGAAATTTCCTACTGCTTTAGAACAGCATGGAAACAAACCTTAATAGTGAATTCTCTTTCTTCTCCTAGGGTTGCAGATGTAGATGTCCACATGTTTCCACTTGCACTTAATGTATTAGTCGAGTAACTTCCTCCAGCATTTGGTGATCCACTTAAGAGATGACTTTGCCCCAAAGCGAGGAATTCACTTATGTTGTGAACAGCTACACCTACTGGCCGCCTGAACAAATTTGAATTTGCAAAGGCACTACTCCCACCCGAAGTTCCTGAACTTGATTTCTTGGAGGATTCTGAATAGAGCATGCGCCCTACTCTCATAACATGTGCCACTAAGTATATTTCCTGGCAGAGATCTGCATTACCAAGGTCCTGGAAAGAAATTTATGTTGAACTATTTTTTTAAGTTTAATTAACATCATTTTATTGACATTGACATAACTGTGTACCAAACTTACAGTAAAAATAGTGCAATTGCTATGAAGTTTTTCCACATAGTTGGAAAATCCATCCTTAGATATTCTGACTAGAAACCGTTCACTGTAAAACAAAACTTAAGTCAAGAAATTGGAAGGAAAAAAAGAAAGAAAAAGGGTAGCAGTAAGGAAATACCTAATATATTTGGACTTTTTTGTGTCATATAAAGAAAAGTAGATTTCTGTATCTTCTCCTATATGGTGACCAAAGTCTCTCATGCAGAAGGACAAATGATGGGTTAAAACCTTCCTTGTTTCCTTCCGTTTCATGGTGCCCCTTGACTGCAAAAAAAATAGTAAAATTGAAGAAATTTTAGATACATATATGCATAATTTTAAATTATATCTTGCCTGAGGAATAGACAATTTTTCAAACATACCGAAGCTTCTCGTGAGTTCTCGAAACTCTGTACATGCTGGAAAGAAAGGAAAAGTATAGTTAATCCAATGCAATGAATACATTTTATTGCACGAGCACTGACTATATACGAAATAACTGATATTAAAACAAATATACTCACTACATGATACAGTTCCACGACACTCATGTTGGCGGGATCCACCATCTCGGCCCCACATCTCGGAACCAGATCCAAACCAAGCTTTCTGAAAACAAGAAGAGTGACCACATGAATATTAGGTCGGCTGAAGCCCGCAGCCTCTCTTCACGTCCGACCCGCCGGCAGGTAGGCAGCCCAACTGGCACCAAAGCTCGGCGGGAACCGCTGAGGCCGCGCCCCATCCAGGCGTCGCCCCGCCTCTGTTACGTAAACGACCCCCGCCTCTAACTTTCAATCACAACAACCAACTTAAGATCAGAAGCCTTGTGATGAACTCGGTCGAACTGGCACAACGCAAACCCAATAGTTTTCTAAGTACATACAAGGAAGAGCGTACTTGCACACTCAAGAACTGCGATGGGCGGTCAGCAGCATCTCGCAAGGTCCTTGGGCATCTCGCGCCGCACGCTCCGCAGAACTGAGACACCTCCCCTGCAGACTCTCATCACCAACACGACCTTTTCGCGAGAGTGACTGAGGAGGATTATCGGTCCAATGGAGCGTGGCGAGCGTGACGGGGCAGCGTCACGTCTCACTGCACGTGCACCTGCCTCGTCTGGTCGCGTGCGGCACGCCTAAAGGCACGCCCGCCCCGTGCCCGCCAATCCAGCGAGCGACACCGCGAAACACGAGAGACATTGGGCCGAGGACCGAGGCAATTGAAGTCTTTTGTTCAAAACAACAGCCAAAAGCCCTTTAAAAGGCACTGAAGAAGAAGATTTAGTGCCTTTACATCGGAGCTAAAACGTCAAAAGCTACCAAAGGCACTCAGTTATAGCACCTTTAGGGCTCTTCAGTGCCTTTGTAGAGGTATTTGACAACATGTGTTAAACACCCCGCGGAAGGGCGCGACAACACCTTTATTTTTCCAGTATCTCTCCTCCAAAGACGGCAAAAAATATAGGGCAGGGAATTAAGCCCCCAAGACAAACGCAAACTGGGGCTCTAACGCCCCGGCCCCCGCTGGAGGGGTCAACGCTCCGAGCCGAGCCGCGGCGCGGTGCGGGGGGCGGGCCGCCGCTGGGACAGGACGAGACGGCGAAGGTATCGGCCGCTACGGCCGCGATGCCCGCCGCGGCGCAAGGCGTGGCGTGGCTGCGAGGACGCGGGGGGCGCCGGGGGGGGCGTCGGCCCCGCAGCGCACCGGCCGGCACACACGGACGGCCGTTCAGTCAGCGCACGGAGCGACAGTCGTTCGTGATCGGCCCGAGCCACGCCTCCGCCCCGCCCCCGCGCCGCCCCCACCCCCACTTGTGGACGGGACGCCGACGCGATCACGGCATCGCGAGCGATCACGGGGAAAGAATGTTGGGGGTTTCCTTGCCGCCGCTGCCGCCGCCTCCGCGCCGGGATCCTCTCTTTGTCACGAAACTTCGAAAGTGTAGCGGAGACTCGACGAGAGATCTCTCTGGTCTCTTCTCTGGTGGTCGGGGTTAGGGTAGGGTTGCCTCACGGGGGCTGTCTGTATACCCGCAATGAGCCGTCACGGCAGCAACCACCACACAAACAGATCAATGGGTCAACCGCCCCCGACAAACCGGTCAGCGCCCACAGTCTCAGGGTGTTTAACTCTCCCTCCCCCACCTTCTTAAACCCGCCCCTGCAGGACCGGGGAGATGCGGACTCTCATGATGACGACCCATGAGCCGAGCTCGCAAGGCTGGGAGTGCCCCCGGGGCACGGGGCTGGGGTCCACGGGCGCCTATGGGATCAGCCTTTGGCCGGGCATACCACAAGAAGGGGGGCAGACAGAGAGAAAGGGGGGAGGGGGGGAGGTGTTAGGCAGCACAAAGTCACAAAGTAAAGGTTCCCGGTCACCTCAGAGCAGCACAATGACTACGTCAAGGAGGAGGTGGTCAATGAATGGAAATAATAGAAACAACGTGACTGCCAAGGACCTCCGTCACCAGACCAGCCATTTCTAATCAACCGGGAACTCTAGATAAAAGAGGGGGTAAACTCGTTATTGAAACGAATAGAGAGGGGGAAAAAACGCACTCGACAACGCAGCAGCGAATCGTAAAAACGATTTAGTCGAGGCGTAATTTTTTGAGCGGATCGAACGCGCTGCCGAGGTCGAGATCAGCAACGCCGTCGGCGGCGTGGTGACACGGCGCTATTCGCAGCGCGGACGTTCATAAGAACGCGGGTCACGCTCAGGAAATGGAGGGAGGAGGGGGGAGGGGGCTGCAGGGAGATGGAGACAGACGATGCGAACACGAGGAGGGCTCGCTTGTACTCCGCGGTGAGCCATACTACACCTTTCGCTTGCGATAACGCACCGAACCACAAGCCTAGAGTATGTAAGGATACAGACGTACTGCTCAGTGCGGAGCAGACTGCTCTGAAAGCGCCGCAGACATGACAGTCTGGCGATAATTGATTATGAGCTTGTAGTCCGCTTTGCGTTGCCGTGCGTCCAAAAGGCTGTTCCCACGCGCCGCCGCGGCCCGAGAGCGCTCACCTCACCCCCCCCCCAACCTCAGCCTTTGGACGTGCCTTTCTGCCTCCCCCTGTTCCTCCTCACCTTACAGGCCTTACAGGTACGGGCGTGGCGGCAGGGGGACCCTCGGGGGCGGGGCGGG